TAGGTAGATAGAATTTATACATTTTCCACCGTGGAGCTGGTGAAGCCTTGGACCTCGTTAAAGGTTCTGCAATGGGGCTCGTGTGCAGAAAAGTGTGCCGACATCTGCTGGGCCATTAAAACACCTTGTGCACGCTGTGCCCACTGTAATTAGCCCTACTGAGAAGGCAGCGGACCACCCTGCTACAGCCGGGCAGAAACAGAACCAGAAGCCGGGTCCGAGATAGGAGGCCGTTCTCAAGGTCTCCTCCGGCATACTGACGAGTTCAGCTGAGTGAGGAAAAAAACATCCATACTCTATTTGCGGAAGCTGAGAGCCCACAGCAGGCAGGGAGACCGAAACCCGGAGCCACACAGGCCCTAATTTCGACCTCATTTGGAAAATTAAGGGGTAAACATCACGCACAAAACATGGGAATCATCTGACACGGCGCTGGCCCAAATGAATGCCGAACAAGCATGAGGTTCTGGGATTTCCTGCCACGTCTCCCTGATACTTTTACTCACTCAATGTCTGGCTTCACTTATTTCCCAGCAGGAGTACAGTCGTGGCCGAAAGATTTGAGAATGTCACAAGTATTGGTTTTCTGCTTCAGTGTTTGTAGATCTTTTTGTCAGATGTTTCTATGGGATACTGAAGTATAATTACAAGCATTTCATAAGTGTCAAAGGCTTTTATTGACAGTCACGTTAGGTTTATGTCAATATTTCAATATTTGCAGTGTTGGCCATTCTTTTTCAAGACCTCTGCAATTCGCCCTGGCTGCTGTCAATCAACTTCTGGGCCAAATCCTGACTGACAGCAGCCCATTCTTGCATAATGAATGCTTGGAGTTTGTCAGAATTTGTGGGGTTTTGTTTGTCCACCTGCCTCTTGAGGATTGACCACAAGTTCTCAATGGGATTAAGGTCTGGGGAGTTTCCTGGCCATGGACCCAAAATGTCGACGTTTTGATCCCCGAGCCACTTAGTTATCACTTTGCCTTATGGCACGGTGCTCCATCATGCTGGAAAAGGCATTGTTCCTCACCAAACTGTTCCTGGATGGTTGGGAGAAGGTTGTCTCGGAGGATGTTTTGGTACCATTCTTTATTCATGGCTGTGTTCTAAGGCAAAATTGAGTGAGCCCACTCCCTTTGCTGAGAAGCAGCCCCACACATGAATGGTCTCAGGATGCTTTACTCTTGGCATGACACAGGACTGATGGTAGCTCTCACCTTTTCTTCCCCGGATCTTTTTTTTACAGATGCCCCAAACAATTGAAAAGGAAATTCAGAGAAAATGACTCTACCCCAGTCCTCAGCAGTCCAATCCCTGTACCTTTTGCAGAATATCAGTCTGTCCCTGATGTTTTTCTTGGAGAGAAGTGGCTTCTTTACTGCCCTTCTTGACACCAGGCCATCCTCCAAAAGTCCACCTCACTGCGTACAGACGCACTCACACCTGCCTGCTGCCATTCCTGAGCAAACTCTGCACTGGTGGTGCCCCGATCCAGCAGCTGAATCAACTCTAGGAGACGGTACTGGCGCTTGCTGGATTTTCTTGGGCGCCCTGAAGCCTTCTTCACAACAACTGAATCTCTCTCCTTGAAGTTCTTGATGATCAGATGAGTGCCATCTTACTAGCAGCAATATCCTTGCCTGTGAAGCCCTTTTTGTGCAAAGCAGTGATGACTGCATGTGTTTCCTTGCAGGTAACCATGGGTAACAGAGGAAGACCAATGATTTCATGCAACACCCTCCTTTGAAAGCATCCAGTCTGCTATTCTAACTCAATCAGCATGACTGAATGATCTCCAGCCTTGTCCTCGTCAACACTGTCACCTGTGTTAACGGGAGAATCACTGAAATGATGTCAGCAGGTCCTTTTGTGGCCGGGCTGAAATGCAGTGGAAATGGATTGTTTGGGATTAAGTTAATTTTCATGGCAAAGAGGGACTTTGCAATTAATTGCAATTCATCTGATGACTCTTCAAAACATTCTGCAGTGTATGCAAATTGCCATCATAAAAACTGAGGCAGCTTGTCAGGCACTTTGTGAAAATTAATATTTGTGTCATTCCCGAAACCTTTGGCCACGGCTGTACTACTGGTGAGGCAGTCAGGCCAGTCTCTTCAGTATTCATCTTTCACATTGTCTCACACATTCCCCATAAGCCATGCAGAGAGAGGCTATATTTATCAAGGTATTTTCATTTTAGTGTAGTTTTTGTGACACAAAACTATTCAGAAAAAGGAACGGGAGTGTTTTCCACATCCGCATCTGATCCAGCTCTTCTATACTTTTTACACCTCGTAAAATCCTTAAAAAATACGGTCAGTTAAGTTGCCGTAGTGAATTACCTACTTAGAACAAGACCTTCACTAGGGACCTGTGATTTACACGGACAGCCACCTTGCTAAGGAGTGAAATAGCAGGATAATCATGTATGATTATCTGGTACACACAGGTAACTTCACAAGCCATAATTTATGCTAAACTTTATGTACATTGTAAAACTTTGTAAGGTTAAGTCGTAAAAACAATTTTTACATGGACACTGTTCATAAACAAGGCAGAATTAACAGATTACACTCAAACCACATCAATATCTGTGTAAAAATCACTCAGCCAGCAACCATCTGTACCTCAGGCGACTTATAAAATGTATTTAGACACAGTTGCGCTCCCTGCACTCACAAGCAGAAAGGCTACATTCTGCAGTGTAGAAGTTCTAAGAGTTCCACTGAGCCCCAAAGGCCTGCTTACAGGAACACCAGTCAGTCCCAATGGAATGCTTGTAGGAGTACCGCTCAATCCCAAAGGCCTACTTACAGGAGTACCGTTCAATCCCAAAGGCCTGCTTACAGGAACACCAGTCAGTCCCAATGGAATGCTTGTAGGAGTACCGCTCAATCCCAAAGGCCTACTTATAGAACTACTGCTCAATTTCAAAGGCCTACTTACAGGACTACCGCTCATTCTCAAAGGCCTACTTATAGGAATACCGCTCAGTCCCAAAGGCCTGCTTCTAGGAGTACCACTCAATCCCAGTGGCCTACCTGTAGGAGTACTGCTACGGAAGGAGGAGGAGGGAGTGATGGGTGGAGTGACGGGTGGGGTCAGGCTGCCACTGCTGTGCCGGGGGGGTGTCGACACACTGTTTCGGGATACACCGCCTGTCAGAGGCAGAGATAGTTTGGGCTGGATCTTCTTCTTGAGGGTTTCCTGCTCTCGACGGGCAGCTTCAGTCATGAACCTGGAGACAGACAGACACACACACAATAAATAAGACTGCATGTACTCTAACACACAGGAACTATGGTATTTATTTGAAATAAAGTCATGAGCAGAAATGGTTGGAAATCCTCTGATCGCCATGGCTGGAACACAACAGACAGCATCCTGAAGCCTCCCAGATATCAGGAAATGGGCCATACCAGTGAGCTACACTCAGGTTGTCCTATCCGTGACTTGCTGACTTCACTGCAGAACAGCAGAATCCTTCCTGCAGCCGGGGCACTTGCTCAGGCCGATTAAAGCAAATCTCGACCAAGGCGGTATGACGGAGTGCAGCGTGAAGGAGTGCAGCGTGAAGGAGTGCAGCGTGAAGGAGTGCAGTGTGAAGGAGTGCAGTGTGAAGGAGTGCAGCGTGAAGGTTACAGGCTACTGGCACGCGTCTCCTGCCATTAACACGCCGTACATCTGCAGCACATGCGGCATGGTGGGGTAACGACACGGCCACCTGGGACCGCGTCTCATTCCTCTCGAAGGAGGGAGGACAGACGTGAACCCGCTCATCGGATTCTCGGGGTTCAGGGTGCTGGGGGGGGCGGGGCACAAGAGCGGTGAGTAGGACTGTGGAGGGAGGAATGCATCACCGTGTCATCCTCTGGTAGCCATAGTTGGTCATCAGCATGAATGGAGTCCTATCATGCTGCTGAAGAGCCAGAGGGGGCGCTAGTGGGAAAGGCAGGAAGTGGTTGGGTGTGCGGCTGGCGGCCGTTGACCGTGTACAGGGAGCTGCGCTAACTGGACTCTCCTGGACTGTTACATCCAAATATCGCTGCTGAAGAATTCTGTTGACCATGACAACTAACCAAGGGTTGGTCTTGTAGGGTCCACCTGGACAGCTCCATTCAAGGTACACAATGAGTTGAGAGCAGTCCAGCACCCTATCACCCCACATACTGGCAGCTCGCAGGCCGTGACTGTCTCCTATTGCGGCAAACTGGAATCAGCTGAATGCAGGTGTGGAACCCAACTGGGAAGCTGGTTCACTGTGCCCGTATCGATGTGACATACATCCCAGCTTCTGGGTCCACCCTCAGAACAAAGGGGCGGCTACACTGAGGAGCAGGAAGTTCTGGTTTCTCTCCGAGTTTCTCACGGTTCCCCTCCTAGCTTCCCTGGAAGTCGATGACTGGTAACACCGCTACTACACAGCCTTCGCCAAACATAACCCGCCCGGCTGCCCTCATTCCAACTCCGTCTGAGAGATCTGTCAGTGAACGCACAAAGCATCCCTGTGGGTCTGTCGTAGAAGCAGCTTTGGCGTGCCACTGGGAGAAAGCGACACCGGAGCGGCTTCCTCAGAGCACGGCAGAAACGGGAGTCCGCATCACCACCAGAGTAATGATGCAGTATGTTTCAAATCAGCGATTCATTTAGATTTCGTCATTTTTCAACTCTATAATTTAGGCTGAATTTTACTGCACACTGTAAAACGTATTTTGTAAATATACCCATAAACTACAATATTCACACAGACACTTAATAAAAAAGTGGATTTAACAGATTACGTTCAAACCACAAAAAAGGCTGCCAAGAAAGGAACAAGCCCTTGTACTCTCAGATTTGACAGAAATGTTGTTTTATGTTTTTCTTCTTCTTCAATTTTCATTGCAGGTACACAGTAAACACTGATATGATTCCTTTTTGGAGAAAGTGGAGAAAGCACAACCTTAAATCAAATATGCATGCAAAAAATGTCCTACATGTGAATTCACACACAGGTTGTAATTTTTTTGTTTTGGCAGGGTGAGAAGGCAGTAAGCGGGCAGTGGGGGGCGCCGTGGCTCACCTGTTGATGTAGCTGAGAGCGACGTACGTTGGCTGCTGCAGCTCCTGTTTCTCTAGCACGCGGGGATCCGTGTCTAGGCAGGAGGAAGAGGGGGTGCGCATCAGTGTGGGTAGCACTCTCTGGGACGTGCCATCAACACATCAGCAGTGGGGGTGAAAACCACACAACTCAATCCTGCCAATATAAACATATTTGCCGAGAAAAAACTTCTAATTTATTTATGATGCTGCTGAACCATTTCCATGATTGGGAAACTAGTCATGGTGGTGAATCTCAGGAATAATAGAAATCTCGGGGGGGGATGGCAGTCTGTCAGGACACCCCCTGTCTCTAGTGAACATTTTCATTAATTCCACTAACAGGCTAACCTCTGAGTCAGTCGTACTGGTGGTGGAACTTGTGGAACGGTGTGGGGGGGCGTTTGCCGGCGGCAAAACCTGCTAGGCTTGCCAGTGCAGATTATCAGAGTGATGCTACATGTTTCTTATTCTGTGGTTTATGGAAGATCGACATGTTATGGGCCGTATAAAACATTGGTACATGAAGACCTCTTCCAAGTGGTGAATGAGCCGACGAAATCTCTCATCCGCCTCTACGGAAAATAGCTGATCATTCAATGCAACCGTCTCCATTATTTTAGAAGTTACATCTTAAGCTTTGGTGCTGACTTTTAGTATTGATGCAGTTTATATATCGGCCGGCAATATCGGCTAAGTCTGAGACACTGGACCAATGCCGGTATCTCGATTTGTAACGAATACCGATCAATACCAATACATTAACTGATGTATTGTACACTGGGACAAGCTGAGCATGCTGATGCCGCCTTTCCGCCGGCATTCTCCCACCGCCCCCCCCCCGAGTTACAGACCCACTTCACACGCCACACTTCGTTAATTAAACAGCAGAGGTAAAGCTAGTTATAAGTGCTCCTGTAGGAACGTGTACAGGCCTCCAGTTCCCCCTTTCCTGTTTTAAAGCGGCCCTCTTTTCGCCCTCTACAAGACCACACTTGACACATTCATTTTTTTTTGCCACTATGCCTTTTTTCCAGACGTTTCCCGGCCTTTGTACGGCTGCTCTGCGCAGCCCCCGCACCCTGAGGTGAGCCAGCCTCAGCAACCAGCCTGCTGACACGCATCTGCGTGCCCAATAAATCATTTGCTAGATTTAGCCAGCTTTGGAAACACTGCCTCCTTGTGGCTGACATAGGAACATCCACAAAGGAAAAATATCCTAGCAATGTATTTCTCATGAAGTTTCCAAATATTTTACTAATTAAGGGATACTATATTTTATACAAAGTGATGCGATTTAAATATTAAATGGCTTTCAAAATATCCAGACCGGTAAAAAAAAATATCAATATATGTATTTTTTTCATAAATTAGAATCTGCAATATTTATAAATACATTTCAGTGTCAACAGCATACTACTAACCAAATCCAAAACACACAGTGCATTTTAGTCCAAATAAAATATTAAAAAAAAAAAATAGAAGAATTAGACTGCTGACAAACATGTTCAATAGCAAACTGTCATACTTGTGAAACTTCAATAACTTGGCATCGAATAGCGTACAGACAATCTCCAGTTAGCTTGAAGCCCAGCAGAATTCTTCTTTTAAATGAAAAGTTACCTTTCCGTGTTCGTTTACCGTCACTCTACCCAGTTTTGTGCCCACTGGCTTTACTGAAACATGCAGTGGGCGAGTGCCGTGTGTTCAGTGAAATGCGACTTCCGCAGTGCGCGAGTGCCGTGTGTTCAGTGAAATGCGACTTCCGCAGTGCGCGAGTGCCGTGTGTTCAGTGAAATGCGACTTCCNAAATGCGACTTCCGCAGTGCGCGAGTGCCGTGTGTTCAGTGAAATGCGACTTCCGCAGTGCGCGAGTGCCGTGTGTTCAGTGAAATGCGACTTCCTTGACAGAGCCGCTAATGTGGCGCAGATGCTGCCATTGTGGTTTATCATGCCACTTTCCTGGAAGCCGCTCCGGGCACTGTTACGGCCTCACCCTGAAGCGGCAGGACGAACCTGGCGCTCAGAGAGTTGTTGGGTGCGGCGTTGACACACGGGAACACGCGGGACATTTTTTGTAATCTCTGATCAACAGGCGTCACTGTTTTGGCTACGCCAATGACTACAAAACTGTGACAAATTAAGAACACAAATATTTATGCTCCTTTTGTCAGGTCTTTGTACAGGTTTCGGGATCAGAGTTGCATCAGACCTTACGCTATAATTACAGAAGGTAAACAGCCCGGGTGCTGTGACTTAAACAGGGAAGCTCACTTGCGCTTAATGATCCACGGGGATCAATAAAGTATCGATTATTTATTCTCCAACATGACTGCGATGCCAAAGTGCTCTGGGTGTGCGTGGAGCACTGGCTGAGACAGGCCCATCCGGGCGTGAAGGAAATTAATGGGGGCAGAGATCTGGGATTGCGGAAGTCTGGGGTACCCCACCTCACCTAGGGCCCACGGTACGACTTTCACATGCGTCTGTTAGGGGGGTGAGTGGCGCACCTCCACATGGAGTGTCATGTGAGCTCTGCTAGCCAGCCAATTAGCTGGCATTCTGCTGGGCGAGATGAAGGATCATCCCACACACAGTTCCCGCGGATATGTGAACACCCCCCGGCATTGGACTCACGACTGATGATTAAACGCTACAGAATAAAGGCAGGGCTTCTTCGTGAGACTGGTTCCCTGTGGTCCTTGAAGCCAGCGTTTCTCAAACTTGGCCCTCAGAGACCCCTAGAAGGTCCATGTTTCTGCTGCATCCCGGCTCCATGCCAGACTGTCCACATTTTTGCTCCCTGCCAGGGCTGGGAGGAAGGAAAAGCATGAACAGTCTGGGGGTCCCCAAGAATCGTCTTGGGAAACACGGCATTAAGCCACACCCTGATGTGGGGATGTCTGAGAGAGCGGGCCCCCTCCCCTAGCCAGACTGGGCTACGGTGCGGACGGTGCCCAGACGGTGTTGGTGCAGAGCCTGTGCATCATCAGAGACCTGTGTGTGGGCGACATCCCAGAGCGTCTGGCTTGGTGTCATGGCAACACCGTGATGCCTTTCGTGGATCCACACCCCAGCCTCTAAGCATGCTGATCCACGTGCTGTCAGTACACTCTACACACCAAAGCTGAACCTGATTAAACATGATTAATTATTTTTTTAAAAAATACAAAATTTAATGAAATGAAATGCAACACCTATACAGGCATTCACAATCCCATCAACTCTGACTAAGCGCCATGAATTAAAACCTAAAAGCTTGCTATCTGTGACTTGTGATAAGTTTCATTAACTTGATTAAAGACAAAACAAAGCACACACACGTTATTACATACAGTACTATTACGCAAGTGTTTCATTAGTGCTGTTTAGTGCACGGCACCCTGCAGCCCCACGCCCCCCGGCGCAGACGCACACACATAAACGCGGAGCAACACGCTGCGACGTTTTGCGAGTGTGACATCAGGAGGCATGTGAAGCCTGGAGAGGCCTCTGGGGGCAGGATGTGGGGGTGATGACTGACCATCCGGGGGGGGGGTTAGAGAGGAAGCCCTAACGAGCAGGCTAGAGTCAGGCTGCTTAATTGCTTATTGATCAATCCAGTCCCACACGCTATAAATCTACAAGCACCAGAGCCCTGGGTGGTAGTGGGGGTAGTGGAAGGGGACTCTGAAGTGAAGTGGGGGGGGGGGCACGTCCTCTGACTGCTTTGTCAAGGGCCACCAAAGCAGAGGGGTTTGGGGGGGGGGGGTGAGACTCACGTAAATGACAACAGGTCTGGGGGACCAGAAGCAGGGAGGTGGTCTGTCTAACAGGTGGTCCGCAGCGGTGGTCCATTGGTGGTCGTTTACTGCGTCCTGTGTTACTCTGCGGGCCTCGACCGTTCCACAGTTCCCCCGAAGTGTGTAGATTGCGACATGACAGCGTGTCCTTACAGCGTGTCACTGGCTTTTAAAGACGCAGCCTCTCTGCCTGTTGCTCGCGTGACAGCTCCGTTTCCAAAAGGGAAGCGCTTCATGCTACTTCCCCCAACGGAAATTGCTGCCCCTCCTTGCTTACAGCCCCCCTGTTCCCCCAGTGTGCCATGCACCACATGGCTATGGTGTGCCAAACGCCATGGTGACATGTTTACGACATGGCCAAACTGCGGCGCACTTAATGTTCTGACTGACAAGGAATGTATTAATCTGTGATTTGTTTTCTCAAAGCTGCCATTGTACCACGCACAGACCCCCCCCGGCCCAGAAAGACCAGCCACAGTGCAAACGGCATATCCCTACAAAAAAAAAAAAATTTTTTAAATGTAACTCTTGCAGAAAGTCACTCTAAATTTTGTAGTATTTTTAAAGAGTAAATCTATGATTCATCTTGATGACCATTATTACCAGAAAGAAAAATCCTCTTGGGACTTGTAAATAAATGTTTCTTCAGTGTAATTAAACAGCCACAGAACTGCTACTGAGGCAAAAATCTAAATAAATAAATAAGGAGCATCTCCAGCATTTACAATCGCAGGCAAGTCCACAGACTCACTTCTGTGCTGAAGCCTGTCCAGGAGGCTTGTATCTGAACAGGACTTAATCTTCAGCAGAGTCATGTTTACAAGTTCAGTCCTATTCTTCTTCAATCAGTTTAGCTATGAAAGTGTCAGGCTGATGGCTGGGGGGCAAGGGGGTGGTACTGCAATTAAGTCCACCAGGTGCAGGCGCTGCAGTACCAGAGACTCTGCTTTTATGACTTCCGCTCTGATTTGGGGGAGAATTCCACGCCTCCTAAATGAGCCTCCTGCATACAGCTGTCGGGGTGGGGTGGGGGGGTACAACCATGCAACCCAGTCAGAACCTCAGGACACGAACAGCTCAGACAAGGTAGAAACAAGTTAAACCAGACAGGACATTAACCGTAACTAGGTTACTTGAGCAGAAACCCCCCCCCCAGCAGACAAAGTCGTCTTTTTTTTTTTTTTTTTTTCTTTCACATTTTCAGCAAATGTTCTCAGCAACCCAAACAGTTACGGCACAGTAAATAAATGAATGTAAACAGATGAACCAATGAATTAGCAGTAGGACACTATATATATTAGTCAGATTTTTTTCACAGCACATAAATGAAAGGCAAAGGCACTATATTAATCATAATGCAGGCATCACACATGCATATGGGCATAAACTTAAGGCCACAACAGGGCTCAACTTCCATAAATATGTTTCAGATTAGTATGTCATTAAACCAGGATGCAGAGCTGTCAGGCCGTATGTCTCGGGGGGGGGGCTTCGGTAAAGAACTGCCGGTGAGAACTCTTACAGTGCACTGGCGACCCCTGCTGGCTGCCAGCATGAACCTCCAGCCCGCCGCGGGCCGCACGGTGTGCGAACGCAGGGTTCCGTTTTCACAGCGCCTTAATTAAACGGAAGAATGCGCTTTGAGCAGCAGGACACCAGATGAAAAGGAAAGAGAAGCCAAATCAAGAGCCCCCTTTTTCTCTGTAATTAGGGCTGGCGGCGCATCGCAGAGCCCGCCAGGAACGGCACTTCGGCAAACGAGGGAGGGGCTGGGGGTATTTTTTCCACTCCGGAGCGCACTAACTGCCTTTTTATCCCCCCTCAAATAAGCCATTTAGGCCATTTCTACTGAAAAATCCTCACACCTCAGAAGCACACAGACTGCAAACTGGCAACCACTGCAAAAAAAAAAAAAAGCATTCAGCACCTATGTGTGCCACAGAGAGGGGTCCGACACACACACACACACACACACACACAGGCTTGTAATTATATATTTGTGGGGACTCCCCATTCACTTCTATGGGGAAATCGCTAATACCAACATGACGACCTTAACCCCTACCCAGCCCTGACCTTAACCATGAGTAACCAAACAAAATACGAGAGTTTTGGCATTTTTAGTCTTTTGACTGCATTCACAGATCTTTGTGGGGACCTGAAAAATGGTTTTTATCACATAGTCAGGGACATTTGGTCCCCACAATGCAATACAAACATAATCCCCCCCACACACACTGAGCTGGACACATGCATTTAGGGAATAGAAAAGTATTAGCTTAAAAAAAAAAGGAAATAGTTTCAAAGCAGCTTCTACAAACAGCCAATTTCCAACAAACGTGGGGAAGGAATGAGGTGACATTATCTTTGTGCAGCTCACTGTACTTTTACTATAAAGCACAGCATTTACTAAAAGCATATTAGTTATTTACACGTCTAAATCTGACATGTTTAACTAGCTGTGGTCTTATAAAATGTAAGCAGGAGTGAGAAATTTCCATCTTTGCAGCAGGACCGCAAATACATACCAACTGCATCCTGCCTCACGTGACACTGCACTTTCTGTCTGACTCACAAAATGTGTCCCTTTGCTGTTATCAGTCACTTATCAGCCACCAAAACACTGAGCACAGTGAAGCTAATGGGATGGCACTAGAGCAACAGGTATGCTGTGGTGGGGGGGGGGGTGTGTGTTCTGAGAAGCTTCCATCAGACCAGCACCAAGTCCTATCTCTGCCCCTCTTAAACCATGCTTGTTAATTCTCCATTTCATCCTGCAGGTATTTTTCTGGACCTTCTAAACCCAGGCCTTGATATCAAAGGTTTGCTGCAGGTTGCCTGCCAGTGACTGCGCAGCTGCAAGGCTGACACCTTCAGCCATTCTCCGCAGGCCTACACGTGACACCCCCCCTTCCTTAGTCAGTGCTGGGCTCACCAGCCCTCTGCTGGCCATATGCTGTTGGTGCAAGAAAGTGGATTTTTCAGTTCTACTTTTCCAGTTAGTAGAATTTAAGCTGCTAAGCAACACAAAATCCCCATCCCCTGTTTAAATGCTGTAGTCATGCATGCAGATGCAGGGCAAGACAAGGGAAGGAAGGGCTCTAGGACAGGTAACGCAGCAGAAGAGTGCAGTGATGTCACATGAAAATGGGAAGCAGGTTTCTCCCATGCGTGACAAGCAGGGAGGGGGAATGATGGCATGGAACTGGAACGTGCCGGTATGGGGAGAGATGGCACCATGCCATCATGGGTACACAACAGCACTAAGCAATTCTGACATGCGGATACCTGTGGATTCCTGCCCTGCTTTTACGTGATTGATTTTGCACAGATTGGAGAAACGGTGCCCTAGTAATTGGGGACAATGGGGCAGAAGTGCTACGTTAAAAAGGAAAGGACGCGAGTACAGCAAGACAAACTCAAACAGTATCCCAGCGTTTGGTGCAGACCTACTCAACCTAGCGTTTGGGTGCAGACCTACTCAACTGTTCATTGCATTTGCTTTGCAGGAAGTGGAGATGTTTGTAAAGTCTTCAAGGGGACGGAGTGAAAACATAACACGCGTAATAAAATCCTCCTGCTAATTTTTGCTGGAAAAAACATCTAATTAAAATGCAACTTCGATACAAAGTGAGGTCTCACAAAGCAGAATGTTAAGTGACCCATAAACATTTGTGGTTCATAGCTAAGCAAGGTTTTTGTACTTCCTGTCCTTCCCAACTAGTAGAAAGCTATGTCCCCAGCCCATGAGACCAAATCCTTTCTCCATAGAGAATCAGCTCACAGGGGGGAGACAGGGTGAGGGGTGGGGGGGGCAACCCTGTGCACGGGACCCTGACAGGCAAAAGTCTCTGATTCCCTTGTATCTGAAAGATACTTTCAGTTTTGGCCAGTGCTGGGAGTCGAATGTCAAGACAATGCCCTTCCTGGACAGATGGCTTGCCAGACTGCGCAGCTGGAGAACAAACATACGCTGCTGCCAGAAGAACAGCCCACAGCGTGAGCCGGCTGCAGTCACCGGGAGATGCGTCCATGACAAACGGGCAACTGCTAAAATGCGACAATGGATAATAAAACTTCTATTTTTCAATATCCACTCAGTAACAATGGACGCGCACTGCTAATTTACTGATATACAGTGATGTTAAGGACACGACCCTCAAAGCTCCCTGCCAGACACAGCCTGATCACTAATAATAACATGACACAAAACCCCTCGCTTCCTCTGCTAAAGTCACATAAAGGCACTTTCTCATGAAACTGGAGGGACACATTTATACAAACAAGCTCATTAAGAGTAGACTGTTAGTCACAGCTCGGAGCTATGTGAAGAGGAAAAAAAAGTGTGTTTGTACAATTCATTTAGGTGGAAAAGGGTATCAACTAAACCTGTTAGTACTTGCTTAAGGAAAATTTTTCTTTTCAGCATAAGCTGTTATAAAGCCAGTTAAACAGACTGGGTTCTTCCTGGGAAATACATATTAATCATGTGCTACAGTACTGACTCCAGGACAGGACACATCAAGTCCCCACTTGACATGCCTGCACTGATATATGCAATCTTCAATCAAACAATCAAATCAATCAAAATGTGACATACTATTTTTACTTATCTCATTTTCATCCAGCACAGTACTCATTTTCAAGTTTAAGTCTTTTTCCAAAATGCATTTGAATAACAGAAGTATTTATTTGCTTAATACTTACAAAAAGCAAAACTGTTCTGCATTTTCCTCACATCACAAGCAGCAACCGCACAGGTTTACAGTTTAACTTCACCCCTTCGTCCATCCATCCATCTTTCATAAGCACATACCCAGTACACCGTCAGCATGGAACCCACCCCGGAAGGCACAGTTACATAACACGGGGGCACCGGGAACGTGATGCCAGTCTGTCACGGGGCAGACACAGACACAAAGAGCAATTTAATTGAGAAAAAAAGAAGTCTAAAACAACAGAAGACTAAAACAAATTACGCGAAATAATAAGGGAAACGCAGGAGTCGGAAGCCCTAACAGTTAGATGGGGAGGAGATGCACTGGGGAACTGCAACAAGTGATGCACCGGCAGCCCTCGCGGTGAGAAAGATCCCTGCGCTGTTACATTCCCTCCGGCCGCCAAAACGCTCAGCACCGGACGATCTTCACTAACATAAGCCCCAGCAAAAAAACACGGCACCACGACCGCCGAGCAAGGAGAAATTCAACGCGTAATACCCCGGCACCGCAGAGCTACGGGCGACAGCTTTAGCCAAATGTTTCTCTACGCTACTCGCCGTTGTTAAACAGCCATTTCCGGTGTCCAACAAAGGCGTGATAAAAACAACAATGTTATTTTTCATGTTATTTATTAGATTAGTATATCATTTACTGCTTTCACTCAGCGCCGGTCCCGTGCCGAAGCGCGCTCCAGGCCTAGCGGTGACATGACAGCCGCGCGAGCCGCGCGCCCCACAGAGTCTCGAGTCGCGCGCACACATGGCGCCGGCGCGCTGACCCACCCTAAGCGAGCCGCGGAGACGAGTGCTCGCCAAAAATACGTCCAGCTACTGTGTCACTTGAGGTTCACAAGTCCGTCGCCGAACCAGAAAAGCGCCCTTCGGAGCACCACACCCTAACGTCGGCGCCGCCGGGTACGCAGGAAGTCGAAGGGCTTAAGCGCCGCTCGCAGCACGGAGCCGGGCCGGCGGTCTCATCCAGACGGGCTTTCCGGAAAGCGACTCGGAGCGGCCGGCGCTTACCGATATGGTTGTCCTCGATGTGAACGATGAGCTCGTTCAGATTCTCGAAGTGCAGCCCGCAGCCCCCGAACCGGCAGGTGTTGGAGAAGAAGGAGGCGGCGGCGATGCCCGTCATGATGTTAGCCAGTTAGCTACATTGAAAAATGGTGGGCGGCGCGGGCGTCCACGGCCAGGCGGCGGCGGCGGCGGCTGGAGCGGCGTCGCGAGGGGAAACGGGGCAGCGGCGGCGAGGAAGCGCCGTGACGTCACACGTACCTGTCCGCGAGACTCGTCAGCCGGCCACTTAGCGAGCGGGTCGCACTGTGCCGGTCCAGTGCTGCTAGATCACAAGTCTTCCGAAATAACTTATGAGCCTGAAACACGGCGGGTCATACAAAGCACCGCACACCCGAAAAGTAACAGAAATATCCCTAAAATGCGTTGGTCAGTTCAGTCGTCGTATTATTTTAGGTGTCAAGCCCAATCCACACGTTTATCATTTAATTTTTTAAGATTATGCTTTCCTTACCTCAGTTCCCACTGAAAATGAAAACATGGACTTGCACTTAGCAGTGTACAGTCAAAACGGCAAACATTAATGGATGAAATGTAACTCTTCACTTTTTTAATCAATAAATTAGATTCATGAAGTTAATCTAATTCTTTTTTATACTTTGTTATTCAATTATGCTAATTGTTTTAGAACTATTTTTCCACTTGAAAGAAATCGTAAAGGGTTATTACAATGAAATAAAAAAACTTATTTCTTATCTGGTTCTTTTACCTTGTTCTTCACGCGTCCTAATTGTTGTGATGATTTTGTTGTCTCCACCATTAGCACTAAGGTTAGCGGCGGTTCTTCTGGCTATAACATTTTCTTCCTCACATTTAGCCGAGTAGCTGAGTGTTGTGTCATCAGCATATCAAATGTCGTTAATATTTCTTTCCGAAATTTTGAGTCCACAATTATATTCTATATTATTTGTCCATAGTAAAGCAACACTTTTAAAAACATGCTTTCATAGATGTCACAATTTAGCTGTAATATCTGAACGTCCACTGGAGGACGCTGTAAACCACGGATCTTCCTAGGTAAATTACAGGCTGTTAGTCTCACAGTCTGCTTAATGCAAACAAGTATTTTATTTGCGTTTAGGTATTGCTAAATAAGTTCCTGTATTTCTAGAATGGTCTACTAGAGTAGTATTTTAAATGTCTGATTGCAGAACACTAACATCACAGAGATATGCCTCTGAGTATATTAACAAATATATTTTAAATTACCAGAATAATTTACAGAAACTTGTGATCCCAAACAATAGGGTAGTGAGTATTTGGTTTACTGACTGATATTAACCATCACAGGTTGAGTGTGTCTGATTAAGACATTATAGCACTTGAATCTGAGCTGGGTAAACCATGGTAACTGAGGAGGTTAGTAATGTTTAACAGTATTACTCAAATTACAAGTAATAGTACAATGCAGAGATATTAAATATGTTCTCATTGTTCTGTGTCTGGAATACACTTTCTAGGACATATAACAACCACAATTAAATGTGTGCTGTTATTCACTGTCCCACATATGCAATTGGTGCAGTGTAAGAAATACTGCATGGTTTAAGTCACCTATCTGTAACACAGAAACCTAACTTGGCAATGTCTGTCACCACAGACTAAACACCCATTCCCTATTCTGGCTGCTCTAGATTTGTTTCACATTTCAAAAAGTTTAGTAAAATCACTTGGAATATCTACAAAAAGTAGGTCCTGTGTTGTCAAGACAAAATCTTGTTGTCCGCTTTGCTGGTTCTGCCCCATTTCAGTCTGTGTCTTGAGACTTTTCCCCCGTGTTTCATTGGTGATTGGTCTACTCCTGGTCTGGTGCCCAGAGTGCATGTAATGGGGACTCGCTGGGCCTTGTCCGTGATTCCTGTGAACGTCAGAGCACTCAACACGCTCTACATGGATATGTTTCCCTTAGGTGCCAGTGTGCATGTGGTATGCATTGGGAACATGACATCACTGCCTACTGTCCCAAAACAGTTCAGAATGGTTGACGTCCATACTGATGCTAACTCAAGGACACCCATAACCAGTGTCTCTGATCCATTTCAATGCATAGTTTTAAGATTCAATCAGTTTGTAATCAAATGCTGTCAAGAGGCCATTTCCATTTTTTCATAATAAATAAATAAATTTACTATTGACATAAGGTTGTGTCTCAAATGGAAATGATGCACTAAAAAGCCACAGTGGGAATACACAACAACAGTAGATGAAGGCAGATGGTTCAGAGTCGTTTGCTCTTAGCTGACTCTTTTTTACCCATAAGCCCTCGGCCAAAACAAAGCCCCCGTCATATCCGAGGCAACTGTTATGAGTGCAAGAGCAGCCCATTGTGTCCATGCAGTGTTGAAAAGTGCAAAAAAAATATCTTCATTCTCGGTTTTTTAAAATAACTCCAGAAATACTGACACGATTGTAGGGATTTGTCCGAATAAGTCATTGCAATTCCCCATAGCCAACCTTTGATTAACATTCAAAGTCCTTTGTTTACATTTTGACTCCGCTGTAAAGAAAAAAAAGTAATAAAAACAGACAAAGGTAAATATTTGTGTTTACTAATTCCATTTTTAAAATATAAAAGTAATTTTGCTTTTTCATTTACGTTTCATATTGCTTATTTGCCGCCAGCAATATTAGACAAAGGTTATAATAACTTTTTAAAGTACGAATCTTTAAAAGAAATCCCTTAACTCCGGAGATTGTCTAAACAAATGACTCAGTAGGACTGTTATTGCCTTTCTATATCTACCTTTAAGGTCTCTACTTATCGCAATTATTTATTTACTCAAGTCCGCTGTATTACTCATTAGTCGTATTAATACGAGTCAGTCAGTAATTTACAAAACAGTGCCGCTCAAACGCTGTTTATTGGAACTGGTATAGACGGGGTCTACACTCCACCCATCTCTCCGATTTCCCATAAAAAATTCACTTTATTTCTCTGCACTCACAAAACGCTTTCTTTAAATGCCCTAACAGATGTCTTCTAACCTCTTATATAAGTGTTGAACAAATTCGGTCACACGGCTCTACATGGATGTTTTGACTTTTTAAGGCTCGCAGTCTACATGCAGCAGCACGGCACAGGTCCGTGAACAGGCCGTCTCTGTCGCTGGCCGAGTGGCACACCCACCTTACGCTACACAGTGCGTGAAGTCGCTGGCCCCGCCCAGTTTTCCCCGCCCCCAAGCGGACCGCAATGATTTAGAAGTTCAGGAATCCCACGTGACGTCACCGAAAGGTGATGTAATGCTTCTCTAAATAGAACGCATTGTAATCTTCTCTCAGTTCAACGTGGTTCGTTCTCCGAGAGTGCTGCTTCTTTTCTGCACTTGTTTGGTAAGTTATTAGAATTGCCTTCCGCCGTGAACAACTCGTATTACACCTCACATTGTACGTGCAGACGCGAGTTGTAAATGAACTTAATTTCGTACTGTTTTTCTTTTCTCAGTTGTGAAAAAGCAACCGACAGCAGTCTGATTTTACAGTGCCCAAAATATTTTTTAAAACGTTTCCTGTGGGTAATTAAGCTTTGATTCAGTGCCTGGGTAATGGACCGTTTTCGCTGATAAAGTCAGAGGTGACAGCTTTAGCTACCTGCGGGAGTATAGGGTGCTGACAAATAAGGGGATGAGATTGCGTGTTGAATGTTGCTGAAGTTGTTGCACCAGCAGACAAGTGCCTGTCTCCACCGGCGAGCTGTCAGGCGCGCTCCTCTGAACCCGTCCTGTTCCGAAAACAGCGCATGCGAACTTGTCTCTCCCGTCCGATGCACTGAGATCACGGTATCACGGGCTCAGAGGATTATCCGCCGTGCATTCGCTTTCAGATACTTATTCTTTTTTTTTTTTTTTTTTTTTTTGAAGAGGTGAGGTGGACCGAAAGAAATCGGTCCCGGGACAAACCGCGAAAGGCTGGCACCTTGGTCCTCATGATCTCATGCGCTAGTCAGTTCATTCATCACCGTATTGCCAGAGACTTCATACCAAGTGGTATTTTGAATAGTTACAAGTTTCTGCTCCAACAAAGAGTCGTTGCAGCCTCCCGAGTCAAGTGCACGGGCATCACCGGCGGCTTCTCACTACGCATAGTTTCATGCTCGTGTTGAATCGCAATGAGTGACATGTCGAAAATAACAATGCTGTATTTACCCTCAATTGATTTCCGGTACACTGAGAAATGCGTTTGTATGATTTTTTTTTTTTTTTTTTTTTTTTGCAAACGAGAGAGATATATTTTGGCATTACGTCATTCTGCAGGGCAGTCTGAGTATTTGATTAAGCGACGGAGATATTGAAGGGTCCCAGGGACCTGCTGACGAAGCACTCTCAAGCTTAAAAGCCCACGGGCTGAAAACTCTCTCATCTGAGGCCGCGAAGTTACTAAGAACTTGTCGTTTTTACCACTTTACACAAATTTTAATTAATTGTGGAGTTTTGTCCATCGCGGGAAATTTACTGTCATGGAATACCACGCGTGCCCGGTACAGAATTTGTTTATTTGTTTGTTTGTTTGTTTGTTTGTTTGTTTGTTTGTTTGTTTATGTATGTTTTATCATCCATTACTTTTGCTTATGTTAGGTCATCTGTGTGTCTAAACTTTTCATAATCGGATTAAACGTAGCATAATATTAACAAACTTTTTTTTTTTTTTATAAAAAGTGTAGTTACCGTATACAACTTTAATTATGTGATTCGAGCATAAATGTAAAGCATGCCTATGTTCTCTAGTCATCCAAAAAGCTATAAAGAAGCCAAAACATTTAGACAGGGACTCGGCTACATAAAATAAATGTTCAGTTACGTTTTTGTTAAATGCTCTGTTTCTGTTCAGTGTGATGGGGCAGATCAGCCATTTGAACATGTTTCAAAACCAGAGTTAAAATTGCTGTGGGAGTCGTTTGCTCAAAAATAGTCAACGTTATAAATGTAAATTATTTTGACCTAAATGTGACAGCAGGAGATGTTTAGATTTAATTTTAACTTAAATATATTAGTCAAGGTTTTACTATTAACGGACAGTAGCCCGCTATAGCCTTTACATCTTTACTTTTTCTTAAATCTACATTTTAAAATTACAATAATAAACAAACCATAGTTACAAGCGCAATACATAAGCCACATTTATGTAATGATAAAATAAAAACGAGGCTGTTTTAGTTTTATTTATTGTTTATGTGCGTTATTGCTTCTTTGAAACAATAACCCAAGTAAAACTCTAGTTGTAGAGATGGGCTTATTAGGAGAGGTGCAAATGTTTGGCGTTGCATAACAATACTTCATTAGACATGTTCGCTCTTGCTGATCACATACTGACATAAACATTTTGAGAAAAGAAAGTATTTCAGAGGAATGTATTGTATGTCGTTTTGCTGGGCGAAACAAACCACATGGATTTTTGGGACAACAAACAGAAGTGAAATTCTGGCCTACGCTGTGTTATGTGACAGTATTTAGGCACATGCTGGAAGCCGCTGTCAGTAATGGCCAGTTAGTATTTAAGTAACGACGACGATCATATATGCCGTTGGCTTTTTGTCTTTGGACTGCAGACACCTTGTTCACTTTGCTTGGGTTACAGGTTCAACAATGCCTACTGGTTTTTATGCTTGAGAACAATGAAGAACTGATGATACTTTTTGCCCCCCCATTTGGTCAGAAAAATATCTTGATAAATGGACATTTAAAAACTTCAGCACTCATTGTTGGACTTTACTTAGACTGTTCTGGAAACTTTGTGCATTCTGTTTTTGTGAGCTCTACACTGTCTTATTATCATGTGAGTCAAATAGGATCATTAGGGGTAGATATTTGGAGGTATGTTAGTGACAGGGATCTCCTCTCCAGTGTAGTGAAGGGTGTTCGAATGCTGTGGGATCGCTCGGGAGGTTTCATCGTATGGGGTGTAGGGGATGTGTTGCTGAAGACTTGGTTGACTGCTCTGGGGGGGTGTCTGTCTCACTATTATTAAGAGCTGCTGACGCGTGTTGCCTTAGCAACCCTCCTTTCCAGCCTCAGGGTTCTTCGTGATCTCACCCCAAACTTGTACTGGATAAGGCCAGCAGAGCGGGAGATTTGGGGCTGCGGCAAGTCCGTGCCCATCCCTCCCCCCCCCCAGAGATGTGCACCTTGAGTGCTCCTCTGCAGCGTCCCGTGAAACCGGACCCCCCCC